ACAAGACAAGGAAAAGTACCGCATGCCTTTTTTTTTTTTTTCAGCTCAGCGCCATGCGACATGGAATAACCGCTTCAAGCCCCGTCGTGCCTGTAGAACTGAATAAAATGTCATTTGCGACATTTCAATAAAGTTCTGCGAAAAAATTACGCGATGCGATGTGTCAGGATTGGCGCATTGGCACTGTTTCGGGCACCGCAAACAATGGCAAGCGCAACCCCAACGCATATGGTGCAAACGCACCCTAACTCATTATCCGATGTTAGAAATGTAACCTGGGGCATCCGCCTCCATTTGTGGTTATTTATGCCTTTTGGAACAAGATTAACTTCTAGTTTTTGGGGTCCCCCGAAATTTACCCCACAGTTAGCTATTATAAAAGAGAGTTATTTTTCAACCATTTCCTGTTTTCGGGCGACAACTCATTTAGCCGTCTCCCGACTGTGCTCCTGCATTGCCATGTCTCTGTTTTAACACACATACACTGGTATGGTCCAGTATTGTCACCATTTTTGTTTCCTCCCACCATTCCCTATGTCACAGTAGTGATGTGGAAGGAACCTAACAGCACAGTGCGGACCAGGCACCTCCCATACCTGCAAGTATGCCAGATGGTGAAGGTCCTGCACCCACACCTTTATCCAGCACTTCCTGTTTTAGGGTGACAGCTTTATCCCCCCCATCTCCTAAATTCATTCCTGCATTGTCACACGGGTTTCCGATGAAGATGTGGCTGTTGTAACACACATTACATTATTATGGTTCAGTGTTGTCATCATCAGGAAACCCGTCCTGAGAAATGGCATGCAGAATGCAGACATCACTGGAGTGCATGCTTGTAGACAAGACGTGGCAGCAAAAAGGCTGAATGAGATAAGCAGTACTAACGTTGTAAACATCTAATGCGTTGTGGCAGCTCAGACAGTGTGCGTTGTATTGCACACTGCTGGAGCTGCCACTATTTACTTTTGAACTTTATCAGTATTGCACAATTCAGGTGGATGGTGCTGAGCGGTAACATTCAGTACTGCCTATATATGATGGGTGCCTCACTGACAGATAGGTATACGTGGGAAATTGCCAGAAATGACCCGGCAATACCGAAGTTTTTATCAGGTTGCTGCGCCATTTCCAGAATCAGTCAATCCTCTGGGCTCCCGGCCTGCTACTGCAGCGTACATGTGACTCATGAATGCTGTTCTCTACGGACTGACTGCCTCGAAGGAGGGAAGGTGTGCTGTGTGGGAGGAGAACATGGAGGTCAGTCACAGCTGCCACCTACAAGCACTGTCAGCATCATTGGAATGGTGGATAGGTGAGAGTCAGGTGCACACACCATTTCAGTAACACTGACAGTGCCTATTGGTGGCAGCCAGGTGCACTGTCAGTGTCTTTGGAAAGGTGTGTGCACCTGGATGCCACATACAGGCCACTGTTAGTGTCACTGAAATCGTGTGTGCACCTGGCTGCCACATACAGACTACTGTTAGTGTCACTGAAATCATGTG